CCTTGCACTGTGCATGCCAATGTGGCCACTTGGAAGTGGTGCGTATGTTGATTGAAGCTGGAGCCAACAAAGATGCCAAGCGTACAGACGGTTCAGCCCCTTTGCATTTGGCAACTACTAGCGCACACTTGGAGGTGGTGCAAGTGCTGCTTGAGGCTGGAGCCAACAAGGAGGCAAAAAAATGTAGATGGCAAAGCCCCTATGGGCAGCTAGCGGGGTCACTTGGAAGTGGTGCAAGTCCTGCTTGACGCTGGAGCCAACAAGGATGCACCAGATGCAAATTGTGAGACACCTTTGCACTTGATTCAAGCTGGAGCGAACACAGAGGCAACATGTACGGATGGCTCATCCCCTTTGCATCTTGCAACGTTTGGTGGCCACTTGGAAGTGGCGCGATTCTTGATTGAGGCCGGGGCCAATACGGATGCACCAGATGCAAGTGGTGATACACCTTTGCACTTTGCGTGCGGCGAGGGCCACTTGGAAGTGGCACATATGCTGATCGAAGCTGGAGCCAACAAGGAGGCAACAGAAGCAGTTGGCAGAACTCCTATGCACTGGGAGTGGTGCGAGTCTTGCTTGAGGCTGGAGCCAACAAGGATGCAACAGATGAAGATTCTGATACAGTGCTGCACTTGGCATGTGATGAGTGCCACTTGGAAGTGGCGCGCCTGTTAATCGAAGCTGGAGCCAACAAGGAGGCAACATGTGTAGATGGCTTAACCCCATTGCATTGGGCAGCTATTTCTGGCCAAGTGGATGTTGCGCGATTGCTGCTTGAGGCTGGAGCCAACAAGGATAGAACACGTGCTGATGGATCAACCTGAGCTGCATTTGCAGTACTCCGAGCATATAGGGTCGTAAGGGCTTGTCAAACGGGTGTCTGGGGGTGCGGCTGCCGTTTTAGTGGGGGGCATGTCCACTCCTGCTACTGTCCATGCTGCTGCCCGTCCTCAGCATTGTCCGTATTGTCATGAGCCCGTGGTCCCTTCCATCGATCATGTGCTGTGGGTCTGCCGGCTTTTCGCTGCGCTGCGGGTGCTGCCGCGTCCTGTTTCCGACTTTGCTGCACGTTTAGGGTGGGGCCCTGGGACGACTCTCGACTCTTATTTGGACCTTCTTCAACAAATGGGGAACATCCGACACGAAGAGCGCGCGTTACGGCGTAGAATTGTACTCTCCCTGAGGACTATAGCGAGTGGCTTTGCGTGTCCTTAACCCGCGGCAGGTTGGGACACTCGCAGCGCTACCCCCCCTGGCAGCTTCCAAGGGCTACATGGAAGTCGTGCAAGTACTGGTGGAGGCTGGAGCCAACCAGGGGTCAACGCGTGGAGATGGCTGCGCACCTTTGCATTTGGCAGCTCTCAGCGGCCATTCGGAAGCCGTGCAACTGTTGATTGAGGCTGGAGCTAGCACGGAAGAAACAGATCATGTTCCTACACACCTTTGCACATGGCAGCTTCAAAGGGCCACCAGAGTGTGGTGCAATTGTTGGTTGAGGCCGGAGCCAACAAGGATGCAATGAATGCCTATGATGAAACA